CCTTTTAAGTGTATGATATACGTGGTGTCATTACCCTAAGGAGCATATTATGGGCAGGGGGATAGGGGAGGTGTCACAGCACAGTGGAGAAATATTACAAATGCTACTTAAATTAGGCAGTTAAGGTGATAACTTCACTGATAAGTCATGTGACAATGTGATAAGCATACCATTACATGTATGTGGTTTTCGTCCTCAAAACCTGTAGTCTCTGCCTAATCCTGAGAAAACCACCAAACCCAAATTTTAGAACATTTTCCAAAAATATTTGACTAATACTCCTCAAAACTGTCAGTCAGTGAAAGACAAGGGAAGTCAGACATTTTTGTAGCCCAGAAGTGCTGAAGAAGACACACTGACTGAATGCAATGTACCCTAGTTGGGAACTTGGAATAGAAAAAAGACAGTGAGTGAAAACTAAGGAATGTCAATTAACTGGACTTTAGTTAATAATGTTTCAGTACTGCTTATTAATTGTTACAAATGTGCCTTATTAACGTTAACAGTACCACTTGCCACAGAGTTAATTCTGACTCTGGTGATCTTGTATGCACCGGAGTAAAACTACGGTATGGAAGTTGATCTCCAGACCCGAAGCAAGGCGACTGAGTTGAGTTAAACCTCTAATTGTTTGGTTAGCCGCCGAGCATGCTCTCTGTTACAGCACGTAGGAACTCCGGTGTTAACAGTCAGGGTCCTATTGGAAGTGAGTGAGTGAGTGAGTGAGTGAGTGAGTGAGTGAGTGAGTGAGTGAGTGAGTGAGTAGTGAGTGAGTGAGTGAGTGAGTGAGTGAATGCACAAACTCTTGACTTCTTTTGGCAAACACATACATGCCTGGCTTTTTTTTTCTGTGTCTGCATTGTTGATATTTCTGTGCATAGCCCTGAATCCTATCTTATATTGCAAGGTTTTCTTTGTGTTTGTGTGTGTTTTCTTTCTTTGGTTTTTACACTTTTTATACATTGGTAAAAGGAATTCTGAGCTGCTGACCATAAGGTTGACAGTTCCAACCCTCCAGTTAACCTGTGGGAGCAAAACGGGGCTGTTCACTCTCAGAAAGGTTTAAAGTTTCGGAAACGCAAAGAGCAGTTGTACTGCCCTACTTGGTCACTATGAGTCAGAATCACCTCGATGTCAGTGGGTTTGGGTGTGATTTTATGCATTAGTGAGAGACTGCATATTCAAAAAGCAAATTGTAATAGCCAATTAAGAAACTTTGGTGCCTCAGTAGTGAAGTACTCAGCTGCTAATCATTGTATTTGAAACCAGCCCAGCCACTCAACAGTCTGGAATTGTAAATACTACAGCCTAGAAAACCCTAAGGGACAGTACTACTCTATCACATTTAACTCAAACGCTACTTGATAGAGTCCTACAACAATAGACAACTCATGAGGTATTCAAGATAGTAAAGACTTTTAGATCAATGTTGGCCACATATTTTTACCTAATAGCATATGAATGTGAATTTTAATTTTTATTGTTAATGGAACACTCATCACTATAAATAGCAATTAACTCACTAAATCCTGATAGGAAATTTGTTTTATGATCTTATTTTAAAAATTGTTTCTAAAAATAAAGTTAAAATCCTAAAGTAATAAACCACCTTATAAAAATTGATGTTTTTCTTCCATAGGGAATTTTTTTCCAAGTTTCTTAGTATTTGACTATTTTGACATTTTAATAAAAACTGGTTAAAAATTCATATAATGGATAAAATAATTCAATTTAGATCATAATAATCCCTGACTTTTTATTTATTTAACCTCTTCTATTTTTTGCATTTACTGTTTTTTTCTAGCTTATAAAAAATAAATTTTAATTCTTTTGCAAGAATTTAAAATAAAATTTCAAACTACAGTATATTTGTAAATGTTGCCATTGCTGCACCCCATACTTTTTGAATTTGTAGATTTCTTTAAATTATTCAGCTCTAAAGAATTAAAGAAATTGACCTTGCTTTCCTATTTAAACCATAAGTTTTTAAGGGTCTGATTTTTAGTGTTAGGCTTGTGTGTTTGCTTGTTTTTCCATAATTGGCTTTTGTATTTTGTATTGTTGGCTTGTAATCTAAAGTTACAATGTTATTACAATGTGTGGTCAAGAGCTGTGGCACTGTATGAGTGACCAGTTAGAGGCTCTTCTTTTGATAACTGCAGTGGGAATGCCATTTTGGAAGCCAAGTTTGCAAAGAAGAAACTTCCAGCAGGCCCCAGACAGAGTCATCTATAAGGAAGTTCTTGGAGCAGATACAAGGGCAACGGGAGGAGTGGTTGTTGCTGACAAGAACTGTTGAAAACTACACTTTGTGTCTCCCAACAGTTATTGTGCTGGGACAGACACAGACATGACACCCCTGTTCCTTTCTTCCAACTTAGACCTCCCCTCTCTCTTCACTGGCTTCCTTCCCAGAGTTGTGATGGCCAATTTCATGCTGAAGAGAATGTTTTTCAAGTATTGGGGTTACATTGATACAACCCTAGGTTTAGGAATAGTAGATGTTACTGGGCCTCATTTCTACTGCATCTATCCTTGTGCATCGACTAATCAATTGCCTTGTGTCACCATGGGTTTTGGTTCCTTGGCATCAATGACTGTATTTGAAGATAAATTTAGGCCAGATATGGAGAAGGAGGAAGCCAAGAAGCCAGTGAGCGAGGCCTTTGCGGCTGGCATCTTCATGACTTCAGCTCTGGAAGCAACATTGATTTAGCAAGAGCAAGTTGGATTCCCTCTGCCATTCTCAGTGCTGTATAAAAAGGGTACCAGGTGTGAGAGAGTGACCATTGCTGTCCTCACCGAGACAGTCACTGCCTGGAAATTGAGTTATGGCAGAAACTGTCCGAACAGTGGACGCTTCATGAATGCATCAGTGATGCTGGCTGATTGTTGTTCTAGAAGACTGGGGGCATCTGGTGGCTCCCTCCCCAGAAGACCTTCATTTGGCAAGTATCTGGTGAATGAAACTCAATAAAAACCAAATTGGGTGAAACAACAAAAAGAATATATGGTCAATATAATAGAGATTCTTTAATATTTGTTCGAAGTCTCTTTGTAATTCTAGTAGATGGTTGTTTTTGTAGGCGTTCCATTTATGCCTATATATTTTCTACTTGTTGGTGACCTAAAACTATATATTTCCTATATGCTAAGGTTATTAATGATCAAGTTTTCAAACATAGCTGCCTGTGCACTTAGTAAAATGATCTTAAATAATCTTTAAGGAGTCATTGGTTAAGGATGTAAAAAACTCCACCATAAAATGTTAGCTAATAGAGACTAACATTTATTAAGCTTTATTATATGTCAGGCACCACTCAAAGTTCTCTAAATTATTTAATGATTAACCGAGTAACAACCCTTAAGTACTGTTTTTTCCTCTTATTTAAAAGATAACGAAAGACAACAGAAGGGTTAATATGCTTGCCATAACTTACTTTGTAGATCCTGAGGCGCTAAACAAACATGTTTGGTTTAGTTGAACAAATCATACTCATTTTTTTCTTTCTCTATTTTAGCTATTAGAAAAATTCAAAGAACGTTGGCTCTCCACTGGTTTATGGGATAATCTGGAGTTGATAAAGACCGTCATTGTAGAACCACAAGGAAGTGACAAAACTGATTTCGATGAATTACTGCAGGTATACTATGATGCGATCAAATGCAAAGGAGAGAAAGGTAATTGGAAATTTCTTAGCCAATTAAAAAATATTTTACTATAAGAAGAGATTGATGATGTTAGAATTCTGCTAATGTTATTTTGCACCTAAGAGAAAAATTATATTTTATAATCCTTAGTGAAAAGAAAATAAGTAAAATTTTCGCTTCGGTATATCTGTTCAAGGAATCCTGGTGGCATGGTGGTTACGAGTTGGCCTTCTCTGGGCAAGGTCAGCAGTGTGAACCCACCGGCCACTCGGCAGGAGAGAGATACGGCTTTCTGTTCCCGGAAAGAGTTATAGTCTCCAAACCCACAGGGCAGTTCTGCCTTTCCTTGAGGGTTGCCATGCGTCAGAATGGACTTGATGGGTGGCAGTATTGAGTGAGTGATACAAGTTCAACATAAGAATGAACAAGCATTCAGATATTATATCACAGTCGTCTTTGTACAGAGATGCACCAGTATCATCCTTACTAGCAAAATGAGCCCCATATTTTGATGCAAATAGTGTAATTTGTGCTTATATTTTATTATATAAAGTAAGTTTGAATTTTCAAAATATAACCGAACAACAATATCAAAATTAATGAAATTATTACAATTAGCTAATAGTAATAATTTATAGATATTGTGACATATGAAATCTCAAAACCAACCCTTTGATAACATTTATTATAATGCATAAGGATGCTATTGGACACCATCTAATTCCAAGTTTATAACCCCCCTCCACACACACACACACACACACTTAAGGGGGTTTATTAGGGAACTTAATATGTTACCCCGAGTCAGAATCAGCAAACAATTAAGGATACAGTCATTGTTCCACAGCAATACCTCTCCTCAGTCCGCAGTCAAGTCTTTCTCTGGTGCTCAGCCTTTCAGCCATGTGGTTCCATGACATTTGCTTCCATGGGCCAAGAAGCCGCGCATGTGTCTGTCCCACAGAGTTCCATAGTCTCAGACCAGATGAGAAAGGTACCACATAGTCTCAACACTACTCCTCTGAATCTCTGTGCTACAGTCTCTGGTGCACGGGGACTCTGCAGCCTTGAAACTTTAGGGATCTGGGACAGGCTCATCCAAATAGCCCTGCAGTATCTCTCTGTGTCCCATATGGCTCTTATATACTGAAGAAGGGGTTTGATGGAGTTTTGATTTGTCATTTAGCTGACTGTTCCTCCATGGAAAATGAAGGATGGTGTCTTAAGTCAAACCCTCTAATACAGTAGAAGGATACCCCTAAGGGAACAAAGGGTGTGGCTTGGTTAACACCCTCTACCAAGTGTATATTTCTGGTATATCAGAGGACTACCCCATCTTTCTCCCTGGAGCAGTTGGTGGGTTTGGACTGCTGATATTTCAATGAACAGCTGAGTGCTTAACCTCAGCATCACTAGAGCCCCTTATAGTAAAATTATTATCTTTCTGTAATAAGATCATGTGTGTGTGCATACCATGTGCAAATGTCTATATATGGTATGCGTGTTTAAGTATGATATTGATTCATTATAATATTGCTATTGATTGCTATAATATTGCTATAACTATTGCAATAGTTAAAGCTATTGAATTTGTTCCGAGAACTTTACTAACAATATAATAATTGTCATTTTAGTTGTATGAGGTAATACTCTTGGTTTATAATTGCTCAGTTCTTATGCAAGTTACTATTTATTCTCTTATAGCTTTACTATATACTGGGAGATTCTTTGTACTAGAATTTGTAAGTTTGTTTGCACTATAGCATCTATATGTCATTACTATAATTTTTATTTATAACATTGCACTTTTGAAGCTTTATCTTAGTAGTGTTTGATTTTTATTTTTCAAAGTCACTACTATGATTGCTTGGTATTTAGATTACCCAGATTCTGGGTAATTTTGAATGTGCTTTCTAAAACGCTTGTTTCCCGTTGTTTAAGATGGAGCACTCCTGGTAGCAGTTTGTCGTGGCAAAGTGAGTGAGGGTCTGGATTTCTCAGATGACAATGCCCGTGCTGTCATAACAGTAGGAATTCCTTTCCCAAATGTGAGAGATCTGCAGGTAGGCCATCCAAACCTTTATCTTTGTGTGACATTAATCCTACACTTTCCTCTTACCTGAGGCACTGTATTTTAAGTGAATCTGAATGAGTGAGAAAGGTTTAGTAGATGTAGATTTTTTTTTTTCACTTATACCTGTCTTTAGCTGAGTAAGAGTCACTGAAATTGTGGCTAAGAGTAGAAATGCAGATTTTTCAGATTCACCCAGACCTATGTAGAATCAGAAACTCTGAAGGTAGAGCCCAGCCTTTTGGACTTTATCAAGACATTGACTTACAGGAGTACCCCAGGGAATCCTAGGGCCCTTCAACCTTTCCCCTTTCTACGTTTTCTGCTGTACTCTAGTGTACTGCTTTGCAGATTCAACTGCTATAATCTCTTATCCTCGGCCCAGCAGGACCATGGCCTGACTGTACTCCACCTCTCTACACTGGGGTCAGAAAATTATACCTCAAAAGACAAGTGGGAATCATGGAGTTCATCTATTGACTCTTCCTTATCTCCGAGATTGCAGTTCTGTACTGCTTGGTATCTCCCTAATCTATTTTGTCCAGTTTTATAGTTAGTAATAATGCGATGGGTATTCCAACTAGTTATTCCATTTTGGCCAGAAATAGGCCTGATTGTTTGCTAAACATTCTATTTGAAAAACTATTTCTGGAAATAGTTTAAGCCCCAAAATGATACTATCTTCTACCAGGCAGGGTTGTTGGGTTTATCACCCGCTTCTTACAGGTATTTGAAGGTGCTTGCAATCTTGAGGACTAGGCTCGAGATTCTCTGACGACTGAGTTGACTCCATTAAGTACAATGTATATCCTTCACTGAGGAGTCAGCCTGTCAATGTCTCATACACATGAAACAGTGATCTATTTTAATTGTCAGTGCTTTACGAGGCACTGTGAGTTATATAACTTTTACTTCTATTTCTCTAGGTCATAGTACTCTTTGGGTAGGATTAAGATTACCGGTATAAACACTATTTCTCTGATTAGCCCCTGTCTCTTAACTTTGGACCTCTTCAAAATTTCTAGAAGTCTTCAGGGATTGTTTCACCTGATGATACATAATCTAATCCTTTTAACATCTGTGACTTCCACCAGCTTCCATTGAGGGCCCTGATGGCCATGCTCAGAGCTATGTCTTCTATTTTTAAATGCCTCTGTCTACTGCTATTGATGGAGTAGTTGGCATCCCCTCAAGAAAAAGATCACCAGCGTCACTGCTACACACTTCAGCTATGTGCTGCTGGTGGGACTGCTGCTGGCACTGGTGCGGTCGTGCTCTATATTGTACTGTATAGTTAGCGTTAATATTCTAGTCTCCAGGCCTGCATTACTGCTCTACTGCTGGTTTGTTAAGTGGAGAAAAGCTCTTTCTCTTTTTCTACTACTCTCAATTGCATTCCTTCCAGGATGTTTATAAATGCTTCCAGTCTCATGTGTATAGATTTTCCTTAAAAAATGAGCTCTTTCAATTCTGTTTGTATCTTCTTTTCTTCATGGACTTATTCATGAATGTTTGGGAGCTGAAAAATGTCAACTTAAGATTGTACTAAATAGTCACAAAGCAACAAAATCTGAAAGGATTCACATTGAACTCATAATAGTGATTGCATCTGAGAAGAGAAGGGGGTGATTTTGGGAATAATTATCAAAAAGGAATTTTGTTTTTTCTATAATGTGTTTTTTTTTTAATTACTTTTAAAACTTCAAGAAGATATACTAAGTATAGGCGTTTACTATGTAATTCTTTTACTTCATTTTTAAATCATTAAAAAAATTTAATGTTATTTACAAAGAAAAAGTTACATTTATATTTGTTTTCTACAACCTCACTTACCTACAATGATTTGGGGTATTATGATGGTGGGTTCTCTATGCTTCCTTTCTATAGGGTAAGTTTTCCTTTTTTTTTTTTTTTTAACCTATCTTGAATTTTATTCTTTTTTTTTAAATTTCTTATGCTTTATTACTTTTTTCCCTTTTTAAAATCATTTTATTAAGGGCTCATACAACTCTTATCACAATCCTTACATACATCAATTGTGTAGAGCACATTTGTACATTCATTGCCCTCATCATTCTCAAAACATTTGCTCTCCACTTAAGCCCCTGGCATCAGCTCCTCATTTTTTCCCCTCCCTCCCCGCTACCCCTTCCCTCATGAACCCTTGATAATTTATAAATTATTATTTTGTCATATCTTGCCCTGTCTGACATCCCCCTTCACCCACTTTTCTGTTGTCCGTCCCCCCCAGGGAGGAGGTCACGTGCAGATGTTTGTAATTGGTTCCCCGATGCTTCTTCCATGTGGGCTTTGTTGCTTCTGAGCTAGATGGCCGCTTGTTTACCTTCAAGCTTTTAAGACCCCAGACGCTATATCTTTTGATAGCTGGGCACCATCAGCTTTCTTCACCACATTTTCTTATTCACTCGCGTTGTCTTCAGCGGTTGTGTCGGGAAGGTGAGCATCATAGGATGCCAATTTAATAGAAGAAAGTATTCTTGCATTGAGGGAGTACTTGAGTGGAGGCCCAGTGTCTTTCTGCTACCTTAATTCTAAACCTCTAAATATATGCACATAGATCTATTTCCCCATTCTCATATATAAATATATTTGCATATGTACATGCCTTTATTTAGACCTGTATAAATGCCCTTTGCCTCCCAGCTCTTTCCTCTATTTCTTTTGACTTTCCTCTCGTCCCACTATCATGCTCAGTCTTCATCTGGGTTTCTAGGGTAAGTTTTTCTTTGCATCATTTTGGTGTCCTGCTTTGATATTCCTCATTCATGGTCCTGCTTGTCTGACTCCCAGTTGTTCATATTGCCCCAAACAGCAAAATAACAGGGTATCAATGAGGTATAGTCAGAGAGGAGAGAAGGAGATAATTCTCACAGGTTTCCCTGGTGGTTCCAGGGAGCAGGAAAGGATAACCTATAGCTGTTGTCCTGGGAGAAGGACATCCTGCTTGGTGAAGTAGAGGGCAGTGAAAAAGAGAAAGGCCCTCAATACGACAAGATAGACAAGACAGTGGCAGAGACAATGGGCACAAACATAACAATTGTGAGTATGAGAGCGGGACAGGGCAGGGTTGCTATGAGTCAGAACCAACATGACAGTCTAACAACAACAACAACAGCAACAAATTGTCCTGGCGGCACAAACTTTATTACTAAAAAAACTGACTCATATCAATTGATACAATAGCCAGCACCTCTTGATAAGGAGGAAGGTCTGTGATATTTACAGTGAATTAACAAGTTCCTCATTTGTATTTCATTCTCCTGCAGATTACACTGTCTTTGTTACATTATATTTTAGTGAGTGTAAATATTTTGTAATTAGATGTATAGCTTGAAGATGGGGACAGTTTCTCAAACATTTCTGTATCTCTAATCAAAATGTTGTGTTGTAATGTAGTGCGTAATAAATTATGGTTGAATTAATAATTAAATGAAGGTTTCATATATTATTAAAATAGTATTTGGTTTTGTTTTTTAACTTGACATTGTTATTTTAAACAGTAGCAACATTTCCCAGACACTTTAGGATATATGATCAAAAAGAGAAAAAACGAAAAACGCATGATCCAGCCTCGATCCATGGTTAGGAAGGCTGCTGGTCGTCATCACCCAGTCAGTTCTGACTCAGGACCACCTTCTGTGTGCAGAGTAGAGGTTTTCAGGCCTGTGACTTTCATAAGCATGTAACCAGTCCTGTCTTTTTTTTTTTAATCATTTTATTAGGGGCTCATACAACTCTTATCACAATCCATACACACATCAATTGTGTAAAGCGCATTTGTACATTCATTGCCCTCACCAGTCCTGTCTTTCAAAGTACTTTTGAACTTGAACTTGCCAACACTTTGGCTGATAGTTTAAATACTATAGTTTAAGTGCCACCCGGGACTCTTATAGTTAGGGATATGAAATATTTAATGAGACTAAAACAGTGACTAATATATGCATACAAGGAAAATTCAAATAACATATGATAATGAATAGGGTGATAGTAATTATTATGACTTATCAAAAGGCAATATAATATCTTGTTAGTCATAAATTGTTGGAAAAGATGTTGCTCAATCCCCGAGAACATCTAAACCCTGTCTAATATGTAGAAGAGCGCAATGAGTGGTAGGGGTCTCATAGATTGATTAGACTGCTTATCACTTTTGATTTAAGTTTTCTATTAATGACCATAAATGACCATAAACGCAGTGAGTTAGAACAATGCCTATTTATCATCTCATACTTTTCATAGGTCACAAGTGGGCATGCTTAACGATGTCCTCTACTCAGGGTTCCGAAAAACTGTAATCCAGGATTTGACTGTTTTACCCTTGTTGCAGGCAGAATTCCAGTTCTTATGGTTAATAGGATTGTGTTCATCTGTTTTCTTGCTGATTCACCCAGGGACCATTTTTGGCCCCTGGAGGCTACTCACAGTTCCTTGCCATTTGACCCTCTCACAGGCCTTCAAGCAACATGGCAGCTTACTTATTCAGGGCCAGTTGGATAATCTCACACCAGTCTGCTAAAATAGAGCCTTCTGTAACTTAACAGAATCACTAGAATCCACTGCCATGGAGTTCATTTGACTCTTAGCGACCCGATACAGGGTTTCTTAGGTTACAGATCTTTACAGGAGGGATAACCTTGTCTTTTTTCTGCAGAACATCTGATGTTGTGGTTAGCAGCCCAAGGCCTAACTTACAGTGCGCTGGGATCCTTTAACATCTTCTCAGGATGGTTGATTGTTTGGTTTTGCCATATAATGTAACCTAATCAAGGGAACCGGAATCACTTCACCTTTGCTATATTCTTGATTGGCTGGAAGCAAGTCACCGAGTCTACCAAATAAAAACAAAAGCAAACTCACCAGCCCTGAGTCGATCGGACTCGGAGTGACCTATAGGTGTCACTGAGTTTCTGTCCCGATGACTTTCCGATGAAGCTTTTTATAGCTCACCTTATGGTCAGAACCACTATG